GCGATTTCCCAGAACATTCTATCGCCAGTTACGACGATTTGCCGGTACGGTAAACTTCTGCCACCGGTCTATCCCATCCTACACAGATATCATACGCAGCTCTGACTTCTTGTGCGGAGGAGAGTAAAATTTTCATTTTCCGGACGCCGCTGAAACTGCCTCTGTCTTTCATTAAGCTATCGTCAGTATAGCTCTCCTCGAGCACCCCAACGCTTCTGCAATTTTTCAGTGGTAACTGACGCCTCCGACGCAGCTTTAGAAGCTGTGCTGCAACAACAGGTTAATGGTTGCTGGTACGTGGTTCACATGCAGTCCCAGCCAACCGAACTGACAATGAAGAACGCATAATCCAACTTTGCCCTGACCACGGACTGTTTCTGTCAAGCACGAACTTCTCGCACAAACAACGGCTCCGCCTTACATGTGGACCGCCAACTTCACAGCGCTGGACTCAAATCGACCAAATCGCCATCAGCCGCCGCTGGCGAGGATCCATTGAAGACTACCGCTCCTACTGGTCAACGACCGTGGACACGGACCATGCTCTGGAACGAGCGAGATTCTCCTTAGTAAATAACCACAGAAAAGCCACCGAGAACGGATGCCCAAGATAGGATGTCAGCAATGGTTGCAAATCAGCCTTCGAAGCGGAACTACCAGATCGCCTCTCAGCTCAACCGTCAGCCGGAGCACTCAGTGAGCACTGAACGGCAATCATGGAAGCGATCCAAATGTCATTCAAAACAACGGCAGATTCTGGAACACGATCAACTAAAAAATGATGGATCTCCCCATCCTCGGTTACCTTGCAGGACGCTCTCAAAGCCACTCCTTCGGATTCAACGTACGACAAAGCGCACAGACCCCTTAACCGTCGGCTCATCAAGAATCTGAGGAATGATCGCGAGAAGTGGTGAACAGAAAGTGTAGACAGGTGGGAAAAGTTGCGGCTATCGGTAATAGTCGCAATCTTAGGAGTACAGGACCAAGGAAAGCAGGCGTGATGTAATTAAGGAGTCCGACGGCACACCGGTTCATATTTAGTAACGCCGTCTAGGTCGATGGACGGAACATTTTAAGGCTCAGTTCAGCTGGCCTTCGTCAGCACAAGAAGTCCCTATGCAAATAAATAAAATGTCTTTTCGCTCCCTTTTTCTATTTATTGAATATACAAATGTACAGTCAACTTTCAGGAAGGGGGCTGCGGCCATACAAAGGCTGCATGGGGAAAGACAGATATAGGGAAGACGCGCGATGGTGGAGCGGTTTGAACCCGGGACACCCAGGTCACTAGTTGGTGACCTAACCATTTGGCCACCACCGCCCCCGGTTCAACTGTGCGAATACTACCAGTTGACTTCAGTCCTCCCTCTCAAATGGAGGTTACACGGTAATTTAATTACCTCAAATGGTATGAGGCTTCCAGCCCCATCAGTTTTTAAGGATGGTGGTTCAGCCTCGGTTTTGGAGTTAACGGAACTACTGGGCCCAATATGGGAAAGAGAACAGGCTCCAACCGAATGATGTGAATCGGTGATAATATCGGTTTACAAGAAGGGCGACAGATCCCCTTGTGAAAACCACAGAGGAATTAGTTTATTCAACGTTACCTCTAAACTTCTCGCCGGCATCATACTCCGTCGATTGCCTGCCGCACTTGAAGAGTGCACACGTGAGATCCAGGCTGGTTTTAGGCCGAGTCGAGGCTGTATCGACCACATCTTCACTTTTCGTCAAATCCTAGAACACACTCCTTTCGTAGACCCACCATTTCTATCTTCCTCGATCTGAAAGTGGCTTTCGACTTGGTCGACTTTTCTAAACTCGTGCTGCCTTTCTCTGAAGGGTGTGCCCAGGAAGTTTATTTAACTATCAACATCGCGTTATACTAGTAGCCGAATCCGAGTCCGAGCTTACGGCTTTTTTCACCCAAGTTAACTACAGAAAGTGGTGTTCGACAGGATTGCCCTCTCTCCGTTTCTATTGAACTTTGTCACAGATTTTATTCTTGAAACAGCCCTATCCTCCTGCAGGGATAGCGGTATCGATTTACTNGATAGCGGTATCGATTTACTCCCAGGTGGCAGGCTGTCTGATCTAGAGTATGCAGACGATATTGTGCTACTAAGTAAAGATTCAGGTAAGTGCTAGTGTAGTCATGTTCGGTATGCGTTTTGCACCTTCAAAGTGTAAAATATTACTATAAGATTGGGTTTGTCCAGCCCCCAACCTTACCCTAACTGAGGAAGTAGCTAAGTTTTGCTATCTGGACAGCTATCTCACCTGGCGGACGCATCACCGATGCAGTGTCGGCGCGCATACAAAAATTCAAACCTGGTCAAACGAAGACCTGTTATAAGGGTATTAAAACCCTAACCAGGAGACGGGGGCACATAGGTCGTGTTAAGCTCCCTGGCTGGGGACCCCGAGATCAAGGTCACCGATGGTTAGAGACACTGAGCGATATGGCTGGGTGTCGCAAACAGTGACGCTCATACATCTGCTCATTATTCGTGTAACATCAATCTATAAAAGTTCGCCATCTTCCACTTGAATTTGCTCTAAACATTCCAACCTTCATTCTACTGTTTCATCCGAATGAGCAACCAAATTTGACCCACAAAAGTGCATGGTTAATGGTTGTAAGGACTGAACTGAACTGGTTGATTGTACCACTAGGGCTTTTCTCCAGACACCTCTAACCGATAGAGTTCAGATATGGCAGCTTCCGTAGGAAATTACAGGCAATATAGCTGGGCATCCGCCATTTGAGAGGTGCCCTTGAAGGTCGTGCATTTATCGTCTTTACAGAATCAGGAGATTGCACCTTGACGTGGTATGATGACTTGTGCACCTCTATGATCAAACGAGGTTGACGGTTGCCACATTTGGTATATGCCTGGCATCTACAAAGTGTCTCCAAAAGCCGCAGTATGGTCGAAGGTGGGTGTCTAGGGTTGCGGCTGATCACCCTTCCCTTGCACCTCACAAAATGCTCCCATGCGACCAAGCGTCTCAAATAGACTCTGCTGAGGAAGCAATACTCACTGCCTTCTCGTCGCGGAGTTTTTCCACCAAAGTGGGAGGACGAAAAGCTGACATCTGAGGCTGTAACCGGGTTGATGACCCACTGGTAGTTCACCTAGGGGACTTGGCCAAAAACCCTGATTCCAAACTAACCAAGAGGAGGCGTACGACCCAAACACACCTTCCCGGTTGTGGCTGAAGTCACCGGCTCGATTGGGCATGGAGGTGTATTGGTCACTTTAGATGTTTCACTCCGTACAAAGAGCGTATGATTCAATAAACCGGACACCGACCCCCAGTGGATTACGGTTTTCACACTTCGTCCTACTGCCTTGCGGGTCGGGCTTTGGTTAGCTGAAGGCTCCGGTTTTGGATTCCTCAAAAAAGTTCACCCGCCTTGGCCTGGGCAAACACAGCCCACAGGCAAATCATGGAACGTTTGTCTTTTTCATAAAGATTATTGTGCCATGATTTGTTTGGTACACAGTCTGGCGTCAAACGTGTGTTAAACATATGTGCACCTTCAAAGTGCAAAGTGATGCTGCATGACTGGGTTTCGCCTACTCCCGCTCTGAAACCAAATGGCCATGAATTAGTTATAGTGGATTACTTTTCCTGCTTAGGTAGTTACGTGACAAATGACGGTAGCGCAGCGAAGAAGATAACTGCCATCATTTCCAAGGCTGAAGCAGCATACGCAGGACTGAAACACCTTGGAGTAGATGCTATGTTTCACTGAAGTTGAAAGGTCGTGTATATTGTGCCACTGTTCTTTCAGTTCTGCTTTATGGTTATGAGACCTTGTATTTGTTAGTTCAGATATCCATCGACTAGAAGTTTGCAACTGTCGGTGTTTACGTAGTTTAGCCCACGTGGAATGGAGCGAACGAATCAGTAATCTGGAGGTAGACCGTCGTATATTTAGGAGTTTATCGGGGGTAATCTTGCTAGCTCATCGAAGTCAGAGAAGTGGGATTCACTGTCTAGGGCACGCGTTGCGTATGCCCAGCTATCGTCTACCGCACCGCGCTTTTTCGCTGTATCCACTGCGGGCTGGAGGAAACCACGTGCAGGTCAACAGACGGCGTGGAGACGAGGCATGAAGAAATGCTCTGAGCCATTAGGCGCCTTCCAGGTTGGGGTCCGAAAGACTCCACAACCGGTTGATTGGAGACATTGAAGGATATGGCAGCAAACTGACAGCAGTGGCGTTCTCTTTGGCACTTCTTATCATGGCAGAATGATTGAAACGGTATGTATGCAGAGTTCGATTGTGTACTCTGTGTGCTGACCATGGAGGTTCACCTTCTCCTTCCCTAGAAAATAGTTCCAATCCCTGTCTACCTTAAATATTACCACTAACCTTGTGTGCACTGCAAGTATGGCAACGTTCAGTGAAGTTAACCTCACTGTATTTCGCTGTACGATGATGATGATCTGTGTTCTAGTATTTGGCTGAGAGTAGAAATATGGTCGATAAAACCTCAATCAGGACTAAAACCAACCTGGTTCTCGCGCATGTCCTCTTCACATGTGGTAGACAGTCAATGAAGTATTATGCCAGAGAGATGTTTGGAGACAGTGTTGATCAAATTAATTTCTCTGTGGTTTTCACAAGGAGACCAATCATCTTTCCTGTAAACCGTTAAGATGATCAGCTCACACGCATCATTGATTGCGAATTTTCAGAGGCTGAAAATGAAACCACAGTAAACCAGGAAGATGATGAAGTGCCCAAAACCAGTATCTCACTCAGTAGAATTTACTCTTGGTTTTATTTGCATTTTTATGTTTCATAACTTGGTTATCGAACGTGACGTCCTGTCTTCGTTTTTTAGATTAGAGACTGCACGTATCACAAATAAAACTGTTTTGAGATCTCTTGAGCCATACATTATTCTTCGTGAATGCTTCCGACCTGACGATGGGTCAAACGGTGCTCGCGTAATCTGATTGAACTTGACTGGGACATAATGATGGATAAGTGAGTTGATATTAATATCTTCAGCAGTATATTCGCATGTCACCGTCGAGCGGCAACAACGCATGTCGCTGATTATCACACCTGTTTATAAATGTATTCCAATTCCTCATTTTTTTTCCGTTTTCATAGTGAATTTTACATCTGTAACTACATTAATGATTCTGTTGAAGGTTGAAGTTCGAATTGTCATTGCTTCAGAATGACAAATGTGCCATCTTCCTATCTAAGCCATGATTTTGACCAGAATTGTGTATCACAGCTTCAACGATGAATTTGAGGATTAGTGTTGCTTTCACTTATTTGTTTAATTCATTACCAAATTTCAAATCCATTAACTCCCGGTTGTTTGGGATCTAGTGCCTGGTGCTTTGTCTTTCTTCCACATATTCCTTTAATGTTTCTCCCTCGAAATTGAGCTTGATACAGTCGAATAAAGTAGTGACTTTGAAAGAAATGATCATCTTTTCCGAATAAATGGTAACAACCCCTAATTGTCATTCAATCAGTTCGCCATTATTGATGGAGTATTCATAGTCGGCGATAAAAGCATTAAGTCTGTTCCACTATTTTTAGCTAATTTGTAGGTTGTAACGGGAAGCAAAACTGTTGGTTTTAGTGGCACATCATTTTTATGTAGTTTTGACGATTCATAGGACTGAGCCATAATCAACTCACCGGCTTTCATTCTCCAGTTTTCCCCTTAGCTAATTTGGTTAAGTTGTTCTGGTTGTTACATTGTTGCGTTAATTGTATCAACTAGCACGCATGCTAAATCTGCTTCCATTTTACGGTAGGTAGTTATGTCTCGGAGTATTTCGTATGATCTTATGACCTAGTCCGTTTTACACCGCTATTCAGCCAGGTTCGGTGGTGCTCACAGACTCGTTCGGATAACCGTCTGCTCGTGCGACCAATATACCTTGTCCCACAGGAACAGGTAAATAAGTACACAAAAGGAGACGGCAGAAGCAGGCAATTTATCCTTGAGCTGGAAGCACAAAAGTGGCCTGGAGATGAACACAGTGCGCAGTTTTTCTGCGGGGAACGCTTTTTCTGCAATTGTACTCAGTTTACGTGTCACCATCTCTGTAGTTGTATCACCCTTGAAAGGTAGTGATATGTAAATCGGTTTCTTAACGGTAGTGATCTTGTTTGGCAACCGGTGACGCCTCAGAATGCTGTCCACGAATCGTTCTGGGTATCCATTTAGAAGGAAAACCTATCGGATAAACCTCAACTTTGTGTCGATGGTATCGTCTGTACATATTCTCCGCGTTCTAGTAGCTAAGCACTGAATCAGATTTCTTCTCCGTTCCAAAGGCACATAGCTTTTGAAATGGATATACTGTTTGTTCCACGATGACTTCCTGTGGATGGCGCGTTGGATAGTTCCGTCTGGTCGGTGGCTTGGTAGAACGTCCAGAAAGGCGATCTGCTCATTCTTTTCGTTCTCTAAAGTGAACTTTATGTTTGGATGTGCTGAATTGACTACATTTAAGAGTATCAAGTGAGTGATGGAGGATTTGAGTTGATTTCAAAGGTTATTCGTCGTATATATGACAAACGAAACGTGAACTGAAAAGCTAGGAAGCACTGGACAGCTGTTTCGACCTGTTTGGGTCTCATCAGCAGTGCGAATCCATCGACCCCACTGGGGATCGAACCCGGGACTTCATGGGCAGAACGCAAGCGTGCTACCCACTACGCCANTGGCGTAGTGGGTAGCACGCTTGCGTTCTGCCCATGAAGTCCCGGGTTCGATCCCCAGTGGGGTCGATGGATTCGCACTGCTGATGAGACCCAAACAGGTCGAAACAGCTGTCCAGTGCTTCCTAGCTTTTCAGTTCACGTTTCGTTTGCCATATACACGACGAATAACATTTAAGAGTATTGACAAATTCACGCTGTCATCAACAAAGCACAAAATGTCATCCAAATAAAGCTTGTAAAATGTACATCGATCGATTGTTCTTTTTAGGATGTTATTCTCCAGCTTCGCCATGAAAATATCTGCGAACAGTGGACCCAGAGGAAACCTCATTGCTACCACATCTATTAGGCGATAGATTTCGTCGTTGAATTTGAATTGTATGTTGTGGGTGCAAAGGTATAGTAATTGTTTAAGATAACCAACTGAGATTCCAATTTCACAGTTGTTGCTTTGTATGTGGTCACATATGTATTGAATAGTTTCAGCAATGGGAACGTTTGTGAAGAGGGAACTGACGTCGAGTGATATCACGCATAATCCGTTTATGTGTGTCTTTAATCCTAGCCACCAAGTTATAGAAATCCTTTAATGTATGCTTGGTGAATTGTGCTCTCACGGATTCCAGGATAGCTATCAGCCACTTGGCCATGGCGTGGTAAGGGGAGTTACACATGTCTAAAATTGATCGGTGAGGCACTCCATTTTCTTTGGTAATCCATAAAGCCTCTGGATCATCGTTCCAGTTGGTCAGAGTTGTTCAAATGTAACCGTGTCTATTACGTCCCTCTGTTTTAGACACCGGAGGGTTTTCGACAGTGACGTTCCTATCTGTTCTGTCTTATCTTTCTCCCCAACTATTTTCTGAAATTTTCTGGTGTCGCTGAGTATGCTGTTCATCTTATTGATGTAGTAGGATCTACTTAAAAGGATTATTCCAGCGCATTTATCTGGTCTCGAAAGAATAACATCTCGGTTTTGCTTTAACTCATTTAACCGTTCCTGGTGTTTTGCGGTTACTAACTCTTTTGTCGGTGGTTTACTGCCCAAGAGTTTGCAGCAGTTGCTGACTGGAGTAGATTTCAGCTCTTCTACATCTAGTGAAGACCGCAGAACAAAATCATACATTTGGGAATACAGATTCTCAAACTCAACCTCAAGATCCAATTGTTTAGTTTTTCGAGTGGGACAACAAAATTTCTGTCCTAGTGAGAGCACTTCAAGCAACTTTTTATTCAATCTTACAGATGAAAAGTTATGAACATAGTTATCAGGGTTGATTGGGAACTCACTACCGTGTTTCGTTGGATCAATCAATTTCTGCAGTGTTTGATGTTTACGTTCTACGCGTTTGTCCTCGATCGACTTCACGAAAGGTTCTATACCTTAGCGCTCCTCGGGCGACAGTAATTCCAGCATGCGATCACTTTTGGCTAAATTACGATTCAGTTCTTGGATACGTCCTGTGACAGTTTCCATTTCATGAGCATGACGTTGTCTGCATTGAAGAGTCACCTCGTTTGGTGATAAAACGTTGGCAACATGAGTGCCAAGTTGATCGATGAACTTCATGTTATATGCCGGTGCATCAGCTTCTCCGAGATCACAAACTGGTCATAGACGTATTGTATAGGCACTTAATTCTGATGTTCAAACTCTGTGGTGACTATCAGGTTATACTAGAGCATGACTTGGCGCACCTCTACGACCTATACTATGAAAGTTTCAGCTGTGTCCAGCGTTACACCTTCAAGCATGTATATTGATTCCCTTTGTTTCGATATAGTTTAGATTTGCATCATGAAATTGAACGACTCTGCGCTGAATTGCGCGAAGCCAACGATTCAATCGCGCGTAAACAAGTGGAAATAATGGCTACTGAGACTAAATATCGTGAAGACAATGAACGAATGTCTACGGAGCTGGGCAAACTAAGAGAACGCTATGAACGGTAAGCTTTTGTTGTTGTTGTAAATTTCATATTACGGAAATTGCGTGCGGTATGCAAGGAGATTCCGATTTCTATGCTAATTTTGCGCTTGTTTAGCCTCCTTTTCGTATTGTAGTTTCATGATTACCTGTTTAAACATGACGACAGTCACACGAAATTCTTTACAATGCTTGCCAGACGCGTTCTATCGGTTTTTTGTTTCTTATTTTTGGTTTGGAACGAGCCCGAATACATTTTTCCTTCGTCTCGTTTGCCGGGAACTGTTGCGCTGGAAACATCCTGGAGTATTTGTGGATGCTAAAACGGATGTGTCATCTGTGGTAGAGTTTACTGTTAGAGAATAGCCTGTCTTGGAATACAAGCGCCAGAGATGGGTTAAAGCTACCCAACAAGCTGTGGGGATCATGTAATGTTTAACTCATGGGTGCATTCGCGGTCGTGAAACGAAGATTTCCTGGGTCTTTTCAGAATGTGACTACCTCTCGGTACTCGGAATATACTGATCTACCCTTATAGGCGATGCCGAATGCCGAATCCTGATGGCTTCCTTCTTATCGTCTGTATGCTAAGCATCTTGAATCAATATGCATTGTCCCTAAGTTTCTTTCTTAACCTAAGAATCCTTCTTCTGTTTTAGAGCTAGGCCCATAAATAGTCCCAGAAACTTCTTTTTAACGAATTCATTAGTTTCGTTCATCTCGCATTGTATTAGTTCAAATAGATGATTTCTTTCACCCCTTCACCTGGGACTTACGAATGCAAATTCTATTTTGTATTCACAACTGGTATCCTCTTTGAGATGTGACATCTTAGTTGTGAAAGCTCGTCCATCGGATCCATAATCAAATAGTAATTGATCCAACATTAATCCTTGTTCTGAATATCCATGTCCCTTTGTCTGTTTCGCTAAGCTCTTACAGCTAGATGATGACTTTTTACTACCTCTATAGAAAGATTTACTTTCCATACAATTTCGTGAATTTACAGGTGTTGACCAAACTCGTGCAACATCACCTTCATTTCGAAAATCAATTTCAGCTTGCAATACCATAGTTATATATAGATGGCTATGGGTAAACTGTATTTATTCCCGACTTTATCTACAACATCTACGTTCTTAGTTCATTTCTATCATCATTTGAATGTGCGCGACCTTGAGTGTCGCTATAAAATTTGCAGTAGTTCGAAATTTACAGCTCTGATTTAGAAAATATTTTGGGCAAAGAAGCATGGGTGTTCATTCTTTTTAATAGATGATTCGTGTCCTATGAGAGTTTCTATTAGGTTGAGCACACGCATTCTAAATTTCTATTCTCTTTTCATTCAGTGCACAGTAAATAAGCAAATTATTGAAAATATCCTAACTTTAATAAATTGCTAAATTATTAGGCTACAAACTACTCACGCATTATCTTCAATACTGGAAGAACTGA